AGTATGGTAGCGGCATAACATTTTCGTCACACGCTTGAGGTATTCGGCCAATCAAAACGCACTAGATAGCTGGCCAATCAGAGCACACCTCGCTTTCAGAACGATGAGCTTTGTAAAAATTGACACGTTTCAGAAAGGCGGGGCATAGAGGAGAAACAATAATGTACAGTATGTGGAAAATAATGTTTTTTTAACCTTAAACACAAAATAATGTTATTTTTTAGCAACATCATATGACCCCTTTAAGTTGATTTTTTCATGAGTAATTAAATTTAAACTTTGCACCACTTTGATTTACATATTGAAATCAGCACTTAATTTGAAGTTTTCCACTGAAGTTTAATATTTAATATTGTATTACCATTTCTTTCTTTCTTTCTATAAAAACATATTTATATAACAAAAACAACAATAATTGTATGTTATTATTAGATTATTATGAAGAAAACGAAAGAAAGAAAGAAAGAAAGAAAGAAAAAAGAAAAAGAATGAATGAAAAAGGTTAGAAAGATTAAACTTAAATGAATAACTAAAATTGAATTGCTGCTCTAAATGGTGCAAAGTTTACATTAAATAATAATAATATAATAATATTACTCTCTACATAATATATAATATTTGAGTCTCAGAAAAAAGAAAGTGATGGAGAAAGCAGAAAGGGAGGGAGGAGAGCAGAGGATATATGAACTGCACTCTTTTCCTCTGCTCTCCTCCCTCCCTTTCTGCTTTCTCCATCACTTTCTTTTTTCTAAAACTTAATAACTGTGTCACATAGGGGACATAAGAGAAAGAGAGAGATAGCAAAAGGACAAACAAAATCCATTATTTTTCTCTTAATCTTCACACAAACAGTCGCTGCTCTCCAGGGCTGTGGCTGAAACTTTTCTCACTTATCCTTCTCTTATTTGTTTATGATCTCTCCATCACACAGCATTAGTCCACAACAAAGAAAACAAAACACAAGCCATGGTCTCCGAGTTCATTTTAATCTGTCACATTCAGTTCCGCTAAAACACAGCAGGTCAGTCCTGAGCCTATTCAAACACACTGGCATTGTAAGGGACCATCCATACAGGATTTTATAGAAAATAGTGCAACAATGAAACACACACATTGTAAAGGTCAATCAAATCCATCAAATTTTCATTAAAAAATATATATTAAAAATGAATCACGAATTGTCCCGGTCACAGATGGCCATTTAGCACTTTTCATACAAAACAATTACAAACAAAATTACACTATAGCATGTTTATTACGCAACTGAGTTGTGAGTTTGTAAGCTGCAGTCTACCATATTTTCATTGAAACATTTAAAATCCAGCAAGATGGATCAAAATGGTCAAAGACTTTCTAGTATGTTATTAAAGAAAAAAAATGACTAAACGGACAGATGCATAAAGCATCCTATGTGAACGGCCCCTATAACATGCTCCGACTAAGACATGCACATGCATGCAATATGTTTGCTCTTCACAAACATGCAAACACAGTAGGAAGATCATGCACTGAAAAATTGGAAACATGGAGAGAGATGAAGCAGAAGACAAACAAAGATGAAGAGATGTCACACCTTCCACACCAAGAAACCAAATGCACATGACTCCTCAGCAGAGACGAATGAGGTGTGGAAGCTGACCTGATGACACTGATGATATGACAAAGGTGATGATGGTCGTGGTGATGAAGAGGGGAGAAAACTCTCTCCTACCTGTAAAAACTGGCAGGTTCGTCTCTGCTGGCAGGTCGGTGGTTTGACTAGAGCTTTATCAATATTGACAGTGGCCTTCTGGTACACCTCTCGGGCCCTGCTCACCGTTAGCGTGCTTGACCAGGAGCTCTTCTTGACGAGTGACCCAGCCTGGTCCACTGACTTCGGGCCACCAAAAGTTAGAGCGCCTCCTGTGGTGTTGGAGCAAGTGGAGCAACTTCCAACATCATTGTTGCTGCGTGAGGTCTTCAGGGACGAGTGTCCCCCACCTAGTGTGTTGTAGCTCTGTCCCAGGAAGTAGTGGGACTGGGATTTGTCCGGATGCCGGCCCATGGTCATGACTCCAGAGGGTTGATGCTGGTGGTAGAGGCAGATCTCTCGGTCCAGAGTGTCGTCCGAGCTCCAGTAACCTGACCCGGGTGTTCGTGAGCGAGGTTTGGGCTCGGAGCGACTGCGTTCCTTGTTCTTCCCTCGCTTGTTGCTAGACTGCTTGTGTAGGGTGCTTACAGTTGTGGTGGAAACATTTGGGTGGGATGCAGCCGTAGCCATTGCATCGGCTGGGATGGTGGGGTCATTTCCATTGAGACTGCGTTGGCTGGGACCTTCCAGGGAATGGGACTTGGTGAACAGTTTTTGGACGGAGTGCACGAGGTGGCGTATACGCCCAGGACTGTCGCTACGCTGGTGTTCCAGCGCCGCTGTCCGTTTGTATTGCAAAGTGTGATATCCGTCCTTCCTCACTGGTTGCTGCTGGTCAAACTTCTCCAGCAGGGATGATGGGATGGCAGCCGAGCTGCCTGGGCCGCACCCACTCCCAGTTCCTCTGGCTATGCCGCCCGGTCCCACATAGGGCACTATGGCACATTCGTCCTTAAACTCGTGATGCGAGCCGTGATGACGGCGGGGAAATGTGCTGCTGGCCAGATCGGACTGGTACCCATAGAAGCTGTGGTCGGTCGGGTGGGCCTGGTTAAGGACATAAGGTCGTCGGTCGTGGCGGAGGGTCAAAGATTCGTAGGATGGGTCACACTGTGTGAGTGTATGGTGGTGGCTGCGACTGGAGGACAAGCCTTTCATCGTCATCCTGATACACTGACCCTCTCACAGCCTCATCCACACACACCGAGTCTACTGCAGAAAGACAGATGGACAGAGAGACAAGAGGGCCAGAAAGCAACATAGAGGACAAATAAATTAGGTGAAAGAACAAAAAAACAAGAGGATCACAAGGATATAGAAGCAAACAAAGAGAGAGAGAGAAAGAAAGAAACAATATGCGTTAAAGATTGTCACATTTAGTCCATATTTTAAACCTCACAGTGTCCACTATAATGGACTGATCTTTAAAAAAACATTTTAACCAATCAGGGTGTGATGTTACATTCAGACTACCATGGGTCTGACTCATACTAGGGATGTACTAGACTATAATACTTTCAAAATTGACTAGTTAGATGGTTGCCTAAAAGAATAGTGGACCAATCTGTCTCAACTGGACATCTTGTATAAGTAGACTGGTGTTGCAGTCACCTGACCCCAAGCGCTTACATAAGACGTCTTGTTTTCAAAAACAGCTAGACGGAGCACACTGGACCGAAACAGAACACTGGAGTCTCAAGACACATTTTAAAAATTGGACTATTGTTAACTTGACATGCTGTCTTAATGCAACACTTGGTGCAACGCTAAAAAAACAATGTGAGATTTGATAGAATGGCCAAATACATCTGTCTGAATTTGTATGGCTTTAGTGGCAGTGCTTTTAAATTTAAAGACCAAGCACAGCAAACTGTTGGCATGTTAATTACAGCATATAGGCACTAAAAATATATTTTGAAAAAAAAAAGAAAAAAAAACCCTTTTTGAAAATTTAGCCTTGACACCACAGGAATAAAATACTTTTTAAAATATATTAAAATTGAAAAAAGTTTTTACATTTTAAATTGTGATAATATTTAACAATATTAATGATTTTACTCTATTTACTTTTGATTGAATAATGACTGCCTTGGTAAGCAGTTGCCCTTTGAACGGGACCATACATGGCTGTCCTCAAATGAAAACAAAACTTTGTCAATGCTCATTCAAAATTTCTTTCAAGAGACTTCCAGTCACTCTGTTGATGCAAATTTCCATGAGTGTGAATGCCCCTTTAAGAGAACAGAACAGTACATGCAATAGTGATGTTAGCACACCAACATTAGCATGTGAAAAACCTCTCCAGGCATGGCTCGCCAAATCTGAAGAAAGACAGAGATGAGAGAAGCAAAAGATAAAGCCAAAGACAGATTATTACTGAAAGAAATGAACTGAAGCAGTTTGCGGGTTATTCAGCTATATCCTGTTTACGGTGTCAAAATGAGAAATCAGCCATTCATGCTTGAAGTCATTTGTAAGACTGTGAATTCATTAAGAGCATTTACCAAAAGATCAATGACTGTACTGAGATCAATGCCATCCAATGAGCATTCAGCATACACTATTGTAACTACACCTTGTGACCAAAATATATTTTATTGTAAACAGTGAAGCTCAATTAAATATATTTTTGAAATAGAAAACATATTTAGTTTCATCCCAAATGTATTTCAAAATGTATTTCAGGGGCAAGAAAATACATTTCCAGTCTTAGCCTACATTTAGGCTAAATGCAAATATGGATGGAATAGCCATGGAATAGAGATCAAAACTACATTAATAATGATTTAATAATGCTTATTTTATAAAATTGTTTATGTTACTTTATTATTTATATTATTATACTATTTTATAAGCTTATTTTATCATTTAGTTTTAGTATTTGTTCCTGCATGTTATAGACAACAAATACTTTTTTTTTTTTTCAAATGTGACATGTGAATATTTTCTTGGCTTGAAATATATAGCACAAAATGTAATTTACATTTTTTTTAATAATTTTTTTGTACATTTATTTTCAAAAATATACCAAAACAAAATGACCAAAAAAAAATACATTGGAAGAAAATGTATTTACACAAATATATTTTGAAGCATATTTTATCAAATATACTTTGCCCTTTTTTTTATTTTGAAATATATTTAAAAATATATTTCAAATATTTTTTTCTCCATATGGATACAGTCTTATCCATATGGATTGTTTAGCTTCAGCCACGTTTGTAGCATTAGCTTTCATACATTAATATTTTGAAATCACACCATGATGTGTAGTTGGCTCTGAAAAATAATCACTTGATTATCTAAATATAAACTCCTTTTGAAATGTTTGGGATCAGTAAGGTATTTATTTATTTATTTATTATTTTAAGAAATTAATACTTTCAATCAGTAAAGATACATTAAACTGATTAAAAGTCACAGTAAAGACATTTATAATGCTATAAAATATTTCTATTTCCAATGTTGTTCTTTTGAACACTCTATTCCTCAAAGAATTATGCAAAAATTATTGGCATTACTATACTTGTTGGGACATTTGGTCCCCATAATGTAGGGAATAGCAGGTACACGCACACACACACACACACTGAAATTATATGCATTAAAAGTAAAGACATTGACCTAAATATTAAAGCTAAACATATAAAGACTATTAAACCTGTTATCTTCTAATGAATCTCATTATACACACTCTCGCTTCACCTCCTTAAGCTGTGTGGTGACTCCTGCCTGACACGTCTATGTGTGTGTGAAATTATAGCTGGCGCAGAGTAAATCTCTTGCCTTATTATTACATTCCATCTCTGTCTCTGTAAGAACACTGAAGATGTGGAAACAAAATAATTAATCGTTTCATACTCCTTCTATCCCTTTCTTTGGTCACAGATGAAGTCAACCTACTATTCTACCAAGCGAGGTTATTATAGTTTTGAATTTTTAAATTAGTTTTATTTTAATATCGCTTTCAAATTTGCTATAAAATTCAGTTTAGTTTTTATTAGTTTCATTCATATTTTTGTTAGTTTTAGTTTAGTTTTTATTTTGTAAACGCATTTTTATTTAGTTTTTATATAGTTTAGTTTCAGTTTTAATTAAAGGGGTCACATGATGCGATTTCAATTTTTCCTTTCTCTTTGGAGTGTTACAAGCTCTTGGTGCATAAAGAATATCTGTAAAGTTGCAAAGACTAAAGTCTCAAATCCAAAGAGATATTCTTTATAAAAGTTAAGAGTTAACCACGCCTACCTAAAACGGCTCATTCTAACACGCCCCCACATGTCTACCTCACTATGTGGGAAGATTTGCATAACGCTGCCCAAATGTACAAGCAAAGAAAGAAGGCGTAACTTTTATTCTCACTATACTTTGTTGCCAGAGCCGCTATGTCGTGAAGACGCCGTGTGCTTCGTTGTGAAAGCGAAACTACTTTGTGTGTGTTGAGATATTTAGTATGAAAATAAATGTAGCCTGATTTGGTTATATGTCTTTTCTTATTTAACCATAATCATGATATTGCAACTGTGGTGTCTTGCTCACTTTTCCGTGAACAGCCGTGCATCAATCAAAACTGGGACTAATGAAATTCAATAATAACGGCAGTCACATTTAACAGTAAAGGCTTATACTGTATTTGAATGTTCTTTTCATATATGAAGAATTATAAGCAGGGCCGTTTCTAGGCATAGGCGAGCTAGGCGGTCGCCTAGGGCGCCACCAGCTGAAGGGGCGCCAATGAGCGCACGTACTGGCAC